AGGACAGCCCAACTTAGGCAGTGAAAGAAAACAGAAAGCTGATGAAGATATAATCACACAAGAGGGCCATGTTGCAACCCCAGTATGCAGCAGAACTTGGCAGCTTCAATCGCATGATTCTGGCTTTAGAGATAAGGATAGAATAAATGGATTATGAAAGTTGCCTCTGTGACTAAGGACAGAAACTGAGGCCAAGCATGTGCTAGGGGTATACCTGAATGAAGGCCTAGTAGAGAGGCCATTTCATGAAGTTGTAAAGTTGAATCCTGGATTTCCTTGGAGAACCATGTTTATATTTCTTCTCTCTCCCTCTTTGGAACCTATCTGGAAGGGACCTCACTCTGTGATTCCAGTGACTCCAGCAACGATTAAGGTGCCTGAAAGCTTATGCTGGGTCTATTACTCTTGTGTCCAGCTTTGGAGAACAAATAAAAATATGAAATAGATGTTTTGTGAAATTGAGACATTTTAATGGACTTAGATTTGAATAGTTTAAAAACCCCCTCTGTTCTGGACTCCTTGTTCCTGCTCTACAATGCTGATAACTCTTGCCTTTACTTCTCACTCACATCTCCATCAGTCAAGAACTTTCTTTACTCCCTACATCTGGATGTTAAACTAATGTAACAACTGGTGTACTTTGGGGGTCTGGTGTACTCATATAGGCCTCTTAGATAAGTACCCCAACAGCCATACCCATTCAGCTCAAAGAAATCAGATCTTGATTTTCCCCAATTCCATAATGACAAGTTGGGTTGCCTCATCAGAGGGGAGAATGAAAAAACAGAAGGTAATAATCAGGCAGCTGGGTATAGAGACCCTGGAAACAACAGGTTCAGAAATGGCTTTAGCTCAGCACATGGTGGCAAATGCCTTTAATCCCAGCACTCAGGAAGCAGAGGAAGAAGGATCTCTGTGAGTTCAAGACCACCTGGTCTACATAAGGAATTCTAGAATGGCATAGACTATATGTATAGAGACCCTGTCTTAAGAAAGAAAGAGGCAGAGAGAGAGATAGAGGAATAAAGGAAGGAAATGGAAAGGAGAGGAAAAGGGAGGAAAAGAGAGGGGAGGAGGGGAGAAGGGAGAGAGGATAGGTAAGGGGAGAGAGGATAGGTAAGGGGAGAGAGGATAGGTAAGGGGAGAGAGGAAAGGTAAGGGGAGAGAGGAAAGGAAAGGAAAGGAAAGGAAAGGAAAGGAAAGGAAAGGAAAGGAAAGGAAAGGAAAGGAAAGGAAAGGAAAGGAAAGGCATTGGTTCTCTGTCCAGGAATATCAGAAAGGAGCTCTGGGTTTTTGTTTGTCTCTTGTTTGTTTGGTTTGTTTTTTGTTTGTTTGTTTGTGGTGATGGTGATGTTATTTTATTACTGCTTTGAGAATTTCATGCAACATGTTTGATCAACTTTTCTCAGACCCACCTGCTCTTCCCTACCTTCCTAACTTCATTTCTACCCCCAAGGTCATCAAAACCAATTTGTATCACCCAAATATTCTTGAATGTGGCATTCCACCAGAGCCTGGTCAAATCACCAGGAACTACACTCTTGGAGAAAACTGAGTTTATCTCCTCCTAAATGAGAACCCCTACCAGAAGAGCACATGTGAAGGTGGAATTAAAACTCCACCAAAGCATTAATCTCTCTGGTGAACAGCTTTGGAACTGGATCTCTAGATGTTTGTGGTGAAAATAGTCATATGTATTCCCCAACTTTAGCCCATCTCCTAAGAGATGTTGAAGTTACTTCTTCAGAGTCAGGAATGAAACATCATCAGGAAAGGCCCACTGGGAGAAAATTATTTCCCTATGGTCAAGAAAATGGAATCTCCAGTCTGAGAGAACTAACATTGCAGTTGGGTAGGTCAATGACCGGGCTAAGGTGCTACCCCTGATGAAGTGCAACCCTCCCTAGGAAGGTGGATTTACTTTAAGCAATGTCAAAGAGAATAATTACCCCTTTAATGAGATAATGTACTTTTTCTTCCCAGAATTCCCTCCCTCCCACCCTGGCACAGGAGCTTACAGAGCTGTAGTCGTGTAGCTTCATAGGTCTTTCCACTTTCCTGAATTATTCATAGAAGCATACATCCTTTTATAGCTCTGTTCCATGCAAACTTTCCATGGTACTTTGGATGTCCGTACTCCTTCTCTAAAGCCCCCCTTCACACGATATGATTGCTTGTCCTCCAAGTGGCTAGCCAGCTTCACTCAAATGACTTGGCTTTTTAGCTCCCTCTCTCTTCTCCATTCTCCCCTCTGGGAAGCGGCTAACCTTCACAACTTTCCAGCCCTGGGGTTTTTCTTTTAAACTCTAATAAAATCATCCCTGTGCTTAAAAACAAAGTGAAATTAAAATTAAAATAAAGGTGTCCATGGACATATAATACTTCAGAACTTCATGGAATCCATCAATGAAAACATTTCCTAATTCCAAAAGAGGTTTTAGTAAAAATAGGTACCATGAGATGTGAAGAGTGATTAAAGATCTTGGTAGGTGTCCAAAGTGAGGTAGGAAGAGGAAAATAGCAAAAATGATAGCTAGCAGAAAACATAGGCTAAGATGGTAAAAAATAAATCTGCATGTAACAGTAGCATGAAAAATGAGTAGATTAAATTTACTGAAAAAAAGAAGAGACTCCAAATTGGACAAGAACACAATCACCATAAAATGGCATGTTTTAGGGGCTACATATGAGTTTTCTAAAAGCAGAAACTACTTTTAGAAACAAACATAACAGGCAGTTATGAACCAAAGAGACATGGAATAGCATTATACATGCCAGACAAGTTAGAAACCCATGTACAAGACACAAGAGCCAAAGAGAGAGAGTATACACTGGCAAAATAAGCAATGAACCAAAAGCTACAACAGTAGAATTTCCAAGATTAACTATTAACATTCAGTGAGTGCCATGTAAACCCTAATCTAAGTTCTTCTCACACTGACTTATTTAATCTTCACCACAAATCATTGAGCTATCACCACTATTAGCTATCATGTTATTATCACCACGAAGCAACTAAGGCACTGTATGCCAGAATTAGAAATAAATGTCACTAATAATAAATCCCTGACATATAAGGTAATGACTAATAAAAGTAAGGGCAGAAACAAACAAATCAAGAAATGCAGGTAACAACTTTAAATCTACCTTCCAAATCTATTAAATCAAGAATGTATTTTAAAGCATCCTTGAATTAACAACTATACAAAAAAGATAGACAAAGCTCTTGTTTCAGAACAATACTAATAAATGCAGAAAGCACAGTAGAAGAAAGAAATCACCACCATCCACAACTAACAATGGAACGCTTCAGGTGAAGATCATTATTCTATAATAAAACCACTGCTCAAAAGGGGTTTTGAGAAATTGAATATCTAATGGTCTTCAAGTAATATCCCACCAATTTGATTTTAAAGTGGAAATAGCTTATTGATTTCAAAGCAAAAATTGCAAGCTTTATGGTAAAGACAGTGCAGGCGTGCACACCATCTAAATAAAGTTAGTAATAAAGAGATGGGCTAGCAACTTATGCCTCTTCATGTAATGCAATTGGAAAAAACACGTTTTACCAGAACACAAAGAAAATACGTGGAATGTGAGAATGTTGACCCAGAATGGCTACAAAATATTAATGATCACACACAAAATATGATCACTGATAGGACCCTAGGTCAAATTTTAAATAAAAACAGACATCAAGGTATTAGAGAAGAAAATATTCATTATCTTAATAGGTGTTTACAATTGGTAATGTTCAGTTCTATTTATAATTTAAAGTAACTCAGAAAACCAGAAATAAGGAAACGCCTTAAGTCAATAAAAGGATCAACTGAAAAAACACAAAAGAAACATTTTAATGAATTCTCTTATAACAAAAACAAAACAAAGATGTTCACTATTTCTGAAACTGCTTTACATAGCTCTCAGTGTTTTAGCCAATTGTAAACAATAGTTGCAAGAGAAAATCAAAACTGTCATTGTTTTCAAATAACAAACAATGAAAGCTAATTTCAAACAGAATAAGACCTATTAAGTCATACATTACAATTGGTAGAGAAAAGCCCAATACTTATGGATGATTTAGCATTGTATAGATAAAGTCACCAATAAATTTAATGGAATTACAAGCAAAATTTCAGCAGAATTTTTAACATCTCATCAAACTGACTCTAAAATAAGGAGAGAAAAACAAACACCCATGAATAATACAAATAATTTTGAAGAAACAGAGCAGAGGCAATCATCTACTAGATTAGATTTAGGACTCCTGTAACAAATCGCCTCAACAAGATGGCCTAACACAGTAGAAGTTCCTTAAACTTGACACCCGAACTCAAGGTGTTGCAGGGCCCTGGTGCCTCGGGAAGCACTGTGGGAGAATTCATTCCTAATTGTTCCAGTGTCTGCGGACTCCTAACATTCCTTAGCTATCCTTGACTTGTGGCTATACCCCCTCCAGTCTCAGCCTCCATCTGCTCGTCACCTCGTCTCTATGTTCATGTCTTCTCTTCTCTCATAAAGGCGCTTGTCATTATAGTTAGGACTTACTCAATTAATCCAGGATAAGGTCATCTGAAGACCCTTTATTTAATTACATCTTTAATGACTCTTTTCCATGTAAGATGACATTTACAGAGCCAAAAGTTTGGATGTGAGCATGTTGAAGGAGGCCAACATTTAATATCCTGTACTCTCACTCTCTCTCTCTAACAGCTATAAGGCATAGTATGAAGCCCATGCTTATTTCTAGTATACTGATGAAACCATTACAAGAGCCCTACAGAATAAAATACAATCCAGAAAGAATTCCAAACAAGAAGTTGAAAAAATGACATAACTGATTTCAGAGCTGGCTTTCTGATGCTACAATGAACACTACAACCAGTAGCAACTTGGGATGATTCTATTTCAGCCTACACTTCCAGATATATCGTCTATGGAAGTCTTAGCAGGAGCTTACGGCAAAACTGAAGCAGAGACCATGGAGGAACACTGCTTACTGGCTTGCTCCCTCTGGTTTGCTCCAAGGTTCTTAAATAGCCCATGCCTACCTGCCCAGGGATAGGACCTCCATCATGAATCAGCAATCAATACAAAGCCCACAGACATCCTATGATGGAAAGTTTCTCAGTTAAGACTCTGTCTTTCCAGATATGCCTACATTTGTGTCAAGTTGACAGGAACTCATCAGCACAACTGACATGATCAATCAACAAATGAATCAGTTTAGGAAAATTCAACAGCAAAATAGATAAGGCTATGAATAGGTGAGTGTTGAACCAGGAATTCAAATGACTAATAAATGTATAAAGAGAAGCTCTATCTCACAATTAGCCAGAAATGCTCTAAACAACATCAAATTATGTCTAGATCAGTTTGGGAAAGTATGTAGATGTGGCAGTTTGAGTGTAATTGCTCCCCATAAGCTCATAGGGAATGGCACTATTAGGTGTGCCATTGTTGAAGTAGGTGTGACCTTGAAGTGTGTCACTATGGAGGCAGGCTTTGAGGTCTTCTATGCTCAAGCTACCCCTAGTTCACTTCACTTCCTGTAGCTTTCAGGATCAAGATGTAGCTCTTTCCCCACTCTCAGCTCCTTCTCCAGCACTATGTCTGCCTGAATTTGGTCATGTCCCACCATGATGATAATGGACTCAACCTCTGACATTGTAAACCACCCAATTATTGGAGAATATTATTTTAAGGTGTGTGACTTTTGTTTATGCTGCATTTGCTTAACTCTGTGAAGTTCCTGTCTAAAACACCTGGCATTCCTGATAAAGAGCTAAATGGCCAATATCAAGGCAGGAGCAAGGATAAGCAGGGCTGGCAGGCAGAGAGTATAAATAGAAGTAGCAACAAGAGAACATGGGGAGGAGGATGTCAGGGACCAGTCACACAGCCAGCCACACAGCCACACAGCTGGACACAAAGGAAAGAAAAGGCATACAGGAGAGATAAAAGCCCAGAGGCAAAAGGTAGATGAGTTAATTTAAGACAAGAAAAGCTGGCTAAAAACAAGCCCAGGTAAGACTGGACATTCATTAGTAATAATAAGCCTCTGTGTATTTATTTGGGAGCTAGGTAGTGGGTCCCTCAAAAAGCCAAAAGAGTACAAATGTTTTCCTTTGTAAGAGTTGCCATGGTCATGGTGTCTCTTCACAACAACAGAAGCCCCAACTAAGGCAGTGTCAGAGAATGTGGAAACAGGAAATCTAATGCACTTCTCACAGGGGAGGGAGGTAGAGCATCACAACGCATTGTGGAGAGCAAGAGGTGGAGCTTGTGGGTCTCCTGTTACCTGTAATCTCATTCTACAGCTAACATCACAGACACACACACCCTGGACTACAGAGAAACAAAAAAGAATGGTCCTCACAGCATGGCTTGTAGATTGAGTCAACAATGGTGTCTCTAAGTGAGATGGTGAACAGAACACAGTGGGTACACACTCTGGAACATGAGTGAACAGAATTAGATAGATGAGCAATCACCTACATAGATGAATCCTGGAAAACTGTGCCAAGTGAATATCATCAAAGGAAAAAATATAAAACTTATTACTCATCAATTCAAATGGTATTCACCTATTTAAGTGACAGCTCTAAACACACAGTGCATATCATCTTTAAGATATACCAAGGGACTCAACAGGGATTGAGATGGAGAATGAGGAGAGAAAACTAGCATGTGGGAAAGCAATGAACACACAGACACATGTGGTACTGAAGTCTGAACTTCTAATTGTAGCTAAAGTCCAAAAAAAAAAAGAGTGAGGGTGTTCTGGCAAAGGCTCAAAGAGCTTGCCTTTGAGCTAAGCACCTGAGTTTTATGTGGGTAAACTCGAGGATATCTATATTGTGTGTTCAACAGCAGCACTTTTTTCTCTATAAACTGATTACACAATAAGTCATTTGTTAATGGCCAGATAAGTCACCCTCAGATAAGAAAGGCATTGCAGTATTGGATTTCATTACAGTAAGAAATACTGACAATATGGTCTGACGCTTGTGAGTAATTCTTTCTAAGACCTTTATGAATCCCCCAGTTCACAAATAACCACTATGTCATACAGGTTCCCCCATAATCCCTATATTTAATGATTGAGAACATTTTTTTTTCTCTAGAGATCTGGGGCAGGGTGTCCAACTCATTCACTAACCATGCAACCCACCACTAAACTCCAGCATCCCAACCAGCAAGCATAATTCTAATTCATGCTTCAGTAAAAATACAAATTATAATACAAATTTTGAACCCAGGGGGTCATTTGCAAATAATGAGAAATGCAAATTCTAAATCAATGAAAGTCCAGAGAGAACTGTGGCGAGATGACCGCTCTAGTGCCCTGGAAGAGCTACTGCAGCCTTTTAAAGTGTTTAATATGATGTCTGAAACAACAGAGGCCATGAACAAGCCCTGCTCATTTTGATTGACAATTTGGCTGTGGCTCAGACCACTATAGCACTGACTCACAACAAATCAGAGAAGACTGGAATTCTAAAAGAAGCTATTGGTTCCAACGCTTTTAATGATTCAAATTTTCAATCAGAAGGGGTCTTTTTTCCAGTTCATTACCCACAGATTCTCTGGATCAACCAATGTGTGCAGCCTATCTTGCCTTTCCTTCCTCTAGTGTACAGTCCTGTCCATCATTTTACTGAGCCCTGAAAAACAAAGCCAAAATATACATGTTCATTTCACCCTCATTTACCTTGGCAGGATTCCAAAAGCCTGAGAAACAAAGTGGGGGGAGAAAATCCCAGCATTTCACAAAGCATCTAAAACAGAGCTGATCGAACTGATGGATCCTTAACACAACTGAGCTGCTGGAAGAGTGGGTACGGGCTGGCAGCTCTGTGTGACAAACGTGAGTCGTGTGATGAACTGGGGAAGAGGAGAACGTCTCAGCCTCAAGTCAGAACTGTCCATCTCACAGTGCCAGTCCACCTCAGGAGCCTGGAGAAGACAGCAGCTCTGAAACACAGAAGGCTGCTCAGGAAAGCACCCAACAATTACAAGTATAAGGAGGGACACGGGAATAGGTTCCCACTGTGTAAAATTGCATGTTATTGAATTGATTGAGTTGTCATTCAGAAAAGGTGATTTTCGAAATGAAGCTAGCAGGGAAATAAATAGAATATAAATTCAGATAAAATTCATTCAAGTATTGCTATTGGTATATTAAAATGAAAGGACTGTCACTAATGGAGGTAATATCATTAAACAATGACACCCTGAAGGTCATTTCTTATTCCACTTCTTTTTCTTTGACTCATGGAGTGCCGCTCAGAAAAGACACAAGCACATTGACTTATCTAGAGTTAAGACCAGCAAGACTTGGTAATATTAAGAAATTCCCATGTTCTGTCCACAATATAGCCTGCCCTGACCTCTAGCCTCTTCTGTGCAACACTCCCACCAACAGTTCCTGTGGTCGACCAGTTGGAGAGATGTAGAGACCCAGCTCTGCTTTCCTGCTTCTCGGCAGATGGATCACACCACTAGGTATTCATTCTTTTTATCTTCATATAAAGATCGAGTTTCATCAAGGGTTTTTCCAAAACTACTCTAACTACACTTTCTACAAGTATGTGGCAGATTCGTGTTTTGTCAGTTACTATTAGCCAAGGAGGGATCAAGCCTGATATACTATTTTTGTGTTGTTCTAACCAAAGTGCCCAATAGAAACAGCTTAAGTAGGGAAAGGTTTCGCTTAACAGGTTCAGGAGGGTTTTCAGTCAGTCAGTCATGGCAGAGAAGGTATAGAGGAGACTCGATCAAACAACCTCTGAATTGTGTGTATTGTCTTATAATAGGTTCTCAATTTTTAAAAAATGTCCTCAATGAATGAAGAAATAACAAATCTCTGGTAGCCCCCTGTGGTAACAGGAGTCTTGGGGTGGTGGGGAGAAATCCCAGCAATACATACAAAATGTGGGTGTGGTCAACTCAGTAAGCTTAGAGACCATGTGTGTATTCACCAGCTCTCAGAATCTGTAAGCACTATCAGCCAGGAGTGACCAGGAAACACTACAGAATGGGGACTCCAGGACTGAGTTCTCCAGGCGGAGAAAGACTGAAAAGCGCACTCTCCCGGTCACAGTCCTTTTCCATACTAGTGCCTGCACCGCAAGAGTAAGAGTCAGCTAAAGTAGAAAAGATTTCAGAGAAGAATGTTCATCTGAAACCCAGGATCCTGGCCCCTGCGTAAGCAGAGAGTGCCCTCAAACAACTCATTTAACTTTTCTAAGTCACAGGTCCCTCTTCATAATTGGGGGCAGCAGTGAGACTGATTGGAGCACTTGAGAAGTAAGGAGGCTACCCGTGTCCGAAAGCATTCTGCTGCACTCTCGATGTGGCTGTTCGTACGTTAAGCGGTATTCTGTGTGGAGCCGTGGCTAAACTTATCAAATCAAATTATAATTATAGAGCTTCAGCTTTGGTTTCTTGTTAAAATTTTAAACATCAAGCAGGCAAAATGAGTTTTGGAGGAGGCCAGAGAGGCTTTCCCCGAACCTCTGAAATTACGCCGTCCACTTGGTGCATCGCCTCTTAGCGGAGCCCTGCTTGAAGCTGGGAGCAGCAGCGTCAGTATGCAAGCAGCTCATTTAACTGTCTCATGGAGGGCATGTAAATAAACCTTCACTAAGGTAAACATTTGTTCGGTTTTACTGCCCGCTCACACTTAACTTTTATGCCCCATTATGATATATGACTTATATGTGTTTGAAAGTCCTAGAACATCATTCGATGCAGAGTCCTCTAAGTGACTGGCTGATAAACGGTTATTTACTCACTAGTTTTCACGGCTCATGAAAGCCTTTAAACTGGAACGCCATCCCTAACTACCCATTAGTGATCATGGTAATTCTTCCTAACGGCATGTGAGCCAGTTATCATGACAGTCTTAGTGGCATGGGGCAGCAGGTTGGAGGGAATGTGAGAAGATCCGGGCTTAACCCAGGGGGCTCAATACGATGTCCAGACAAAAGGTGCTTGTATGCCACACACCCGTAACCCCATCACATGAGAGATTCAAGCAAGAGTGCAAACACCGGTTTGTATTGAGCACACAGTCCATGTCATAAATATGAGGATGTTCTAAGAAAGAACATGAGTGCTAAATGCAGCCTCTATTACTAGACTACTTGCTGGTCTCACCAAAATGACTGTTCAGCTGCTTGATGGGGTCACTAGGTACAAAGGAGACACATACGCAGAAATTCCTGCCCCTACAGGAACCTGTGAATGCTCTGGAATGTAAATTAAGTCAGGTCATTCTGGGGGTTTCGGGGAGCCATCTGCAGACTGGTAGCAAAATGAATCCAGATTTTGCTTGCAAGATATGCTTTGCAATACATTTGTACAGTGTTTTAATAGAAATTTGGGGTTTAAAATAACAATGGATATTCTTATAGTAGCCATATATGTATCATGGTTATTAAAACAAAAATGTACTGAGTATTGTTTATTATTTTCCAGAAAAGGTGCTAATGTTCCAGATAAGCATTTTAATAAAATACTCATGTGATACAGCAATTTCATTAAATAGGTTTATCATTTTTCCATTTGTATATGAGAGTACTGAGGCTCAGGAATACTAAGTCATCCCAGTGTTACAAAGCACCCAGGCCAGGGAATGTTGCCATCCACATTTAGGGTCGTCTTCCTCACCTCAATAAACCTGAAGTAGTATGATCCCTCCTGCCACAGACAAAGGTTTTTCAGTGACTATAAATTAGTGGGTCATGATATATATGTCAGATATCCTGTATATCAGATATTTACATTAGCAAAATTACAGTTATGAAGTAGCAATGAGATAATTGTATGGTTGGGGGCCACCAACAACATGAAAAACTGTATTAAAGGGTTGCAGCATTAGGAAGGTTGAGAACCACGGCTCTAGATCTTGTCAAGTTTACAGTTGATGCTACCCATCTCAAAGTATAATGGTAAAAGCTTTTGAGTGTCAAATTAAAGGCTGTGGACTCCATTCCATCTCCTAAACCCATACCACTTTTCACCTTGTGAATTTCATAACATTAGACTGTAATGAATATTAAAATAGTTATCTGTCAACTAGAAAAGAGGAGAAGTAATTGTTGGCAACTACAAAGAGCAATTTTTTTAAGAAATGAAATTATTTAAGTGTCATATTTATAATAAGAATCATCTCTTCCTTTGAAGTAATGAAACATGATTTTCACATTTTCAAAATACTAATGATAATCTGGCATGCTAAAGTATGGAAAATGGCTTAATGGGTGTGATGGCGGACCATGTTTTCTGGTCTCCCACCCTCCCCATCCAGCCACTACTTTCTCTAGTTCAGCAAGTCTGTACTTTTAAACTGGGCTACAGGAATTTCTATGCAGGCCTCTACCCTCAGTTGTCACTAGGATGTCAAGCAGGGAAACAAAGGCAACAGCTCAGTCTGTGGCAGTTCAGAAGACTGCCTTTCAGAGACATGTTGGGAGTTCAGGGCTCAGCCAACTGCAAAAATCAGTTAACACCAGACACCTCCCTCTCTGGTCACAGCAAAGGTACTCACTCTCTGAGTACCCTGAATACAGGTACTGTGTCGAAACCAGGGGAAACAGAACAGATGGGTTCCTAACCTTCAGTTGCCCAAAGCATGGTAGTACTTTCTTAATCCCCAGGGACTGCTGGAGCAGACCAAGCAAGAGCAGAACATTTCTGCATCCTAAACTGAGATACTTTCTGCATCGTCACTCCTTCTCTACACCTGGACCAAAAAAAAAAAGGCCTCCTCTCCTGCACACAGCAGTGGGAAAGAAGATGTTTACTTTATATTTGATTTGTTTGACATTGCATCCTGGCATCATATAGCTAATATCTGGTTCATCAAAGGCCTGATCCCTTGGGTTTCACTTCCATGCCTCCTGCAGCCAGCATAGACATTTACCAAAAGGACCATGTTGTTACTACTTGGGACTCTTGCAGTTTCTTCCTTCCAACATGTATATTCTCTCCCCAGCCCCCCTGCACATCAAGCTCATTTACCTAGTTCTACATTCAAGTGTTGACTTAACCATCACTTCTAAACTTACATAACAGATTGCACCACTGGCAAAATACCCCAAGTAGTGACTTGAATGGGTATGGACCCCATAGACTCATGTGTTTGAATGTTTGGCCTATATGGAGTGGCACTATTAGATGTTGCCTTGTTGGAGAAAGTAAGTCACTGTAGGGGTGGTCTTTGAGGTCTCCTATGCTCAGTTCATGTCAGGTTGCCTGCAAATCAAGTTACAAAACTCTCATCTCCTTCTCCAGCACCATGTCTGCCTGCACAATACCATGTCTGACCATGATGATAATGAACTGGAACTCTGAAACTGTAAGCCAGCCCCAATTAGATGTTTTCCTTTATATGAGGTGTTGTGGTCATGGTGTCTTGTCACAGCAATAAAAACCCTAAGTGTCCTTAGTGTCCTCTTGTTCCCTATTATAACTCTTACTACACTTGTACCCACCTGTTGTCTTCTAACCCCTAGACCATAAACTTTAGAAAAACAAGACTTTATCTGTCTTGCTCCCCATTATACCCTTGTCATCACATAGCAGAGGCTCACTAAATATAATGAGTGAGGACTGAGCTGTGAGCCACATCTTTAAGGAAGAGTAAGCTTCATATTAGTCTATAGTAAGTTCTTTTGGTCTGGACACAAGGAACACACCTGCTTTATTTCTGTATCTGTGATACCTTGCATTGTACTTAAAGAATTCAGTTATAGAAGAAGAAAAACCATGACACAGGATTCCCTGGCTCCAAGCTCTCCCTTCCATCACACTCCAAAAAACCAATTTGATTTCTCCAACCACACAAAACCTCTCCTCTCCCTCCCAGCTCAGCTTCCTCAGCTCTCTGTCCTTAGGACACCTGCCCATTGCTGTTTTTTCACAAGCTCCTGGAAAGCCAAAGATGTATCTTGTTTCCTCCAATCTCTGTTCCTAATTCCTCATGCAGAGTTGGTGCTTAAGAAATGCTGAGTGAGAGCTGGCAAGAAACTGAGTTTGTTTCCAAAATTATTTTATAATTCTCTCCCTGGTAGACTTTGAAACAAAGAGTGGATTTCCAGGTGTGAACATTTGAGTAGGGGGTCCTTTCTAGAAACAGAAAACTCCACGATTCCCTATCCAAGCCTCCAACTCTAAAAGTAAGTGCCTTGTCGACACTAAAAAATAGGAAAACACTCTTTTTGTCTTCCTTCATTGTTGAAAAAGCCTGGTCCTGCCAGATACAATCAGGTTTTAGATGGCTCTGAGATAACAGGCAGCAATCGCTACTCTGGCATAATTCAACACAGACTACCTTCCTCCCATTAGGAGTAGAAGGAACACCTGGCTCTTGAAAACCGAGGACAGAGTCTCAGCACGGGTAGGAAGGACTAACAGCACTGCAGATACACCCCATTGATTCACAGATGGGTCCAGCCTACATAAGGGTCCCTCAATAAGGCCTCCATCTCCATACTGACTGGCACATTGCCATAGTCACAGATAATCTGTGGCATTTTGCACCAGCATCTGGCCTTATAGCTCTGCTAAGCCTCTCACCTACTTTTCTCATGGGCAGAAACAGGAAAGGCCCCCACACAGGGACCCCTGGGTATGTCACTAATCCATTCTCCTGCGTCTATGTCACATTTAATTACTCACTCAATACAGAATTATCCGTACTGAAACTCCAAACTAATGAGATGCTGTGAAGCCTTCAAATTGGGGATTACAAACTGCAGCATGTTGCACCAAGGTCAATGTAGATTGTTCTGAAGCTCTGATTTGGACGTGATCACCTTCTCTTTAACCTGAAATCCTTTACTTGCCATTTCTTCAAAAAGGAAAAATCAGAGTGCTTTGGAGGAGGCAAAGTGTGACACTTAGTTGTTTGTTTTAACTACATGAAAGCGTCAGTGATCAATATCTAAATCCCCAGAGCCACATTGAAGTTCTTTCTCCTCATAATCTTCCCAACAGGGTATGTTGACCTTTGCCTCCAGGGGATAAGAAAACACTACCTCTTGATAGCATTTTGCAGGGAAATAATGCAAAAGTTGCATAGACACTGTTTTAAATAAAGCTGTATTCCTGTTTCATAATTAGAAAGGTAACAAGCAGTCTTTATATTCAACTCCTCAGCAGGTGGCTCTCTGGAGGGTAGGATAACTATCTCTCACCATATTTGTTCTGCCCAGGAAATACGTGATGGAGACAATAAATTTCCAGGGCTTTAATTATACTGACTATGACTATACACTTTGTATACATTGGTATTTATTACAACAGCTCAAGCTACATATGGCAATTGAGCAGCTTAAACATGGCTAGCCTATGCTGAGACACATTATAACTGTAAAAGAACCACCAGGTTTAAGACTTACACTGAAAACAAAGTTGAAGTAATAGGGTTGGTTAATTTTTACATTTGGCTGCATATTGGAATCATGGGTTGGAAAGAGTAACAGAATTTCTCAAGCCCAGCTCTAATGATATTTGGGGCCAGATAATTGTTGGTATTTGAATCTGTGCCCCACCTCCACTCCACCCTCTGTATACTGTAGAATGTTTAGCAGCATCCCCAACTTCTAATCACTAAATGTCCTAGCACCCCATAGTTCTGAAAACCAAAAATTGCCTACTGACATAGCCAAGCAACATTGTTAGACACCAGCAAAAGACCCTTGAGGGACAAAATTTTTCCTGGCTGAGGGCTCCTGGAATGGATAAAATATATTACTGTAACTATTTGAAATCATTTTATATTAAAATGTAGTATTAAAATTAGCATCATTGTTTCATTTCACTATTTTAAAGTAAATTGCTAGACAATTTTAAATTTATGCATGAACCTGGCATTGGTAGCTTGTGTTTTACTTCTGCTGGATAGTGCTGACACACACACACTGTGAACATTGTACCATTGAGGCTCATGATTTTTCATTATTATATTTTCAATACCAAGAACACAGCCCTTTAGGACCTAGTACCAGGGAAAGTGGAGGACTCAGAACCATAGCAAACAATGATTTCAAGAAAAGTTGCTAGGGAGTAGCCCACTGAAGATATCCAGGAACCTAAGAGGAAGAAAACGGGATAGACAACAAAGATCACAGTTCAAACCCACACATGATAGAAGAATGCACTTGAACAAGTCTTCGAGTTAGAGAAAAGGGAAGTTCTTAGTAATTATTATAAAATCACACACTGCCATTGATGGCATGAATGAGGCCACTTCAGCCTCATCATGTCTCTTAATTGAGAATAATTCTATAGGTGTTAACTAGTAGAGTATCAGTGTATCATCTGGAGATATTATGATCTCAATCAGAACACAAGTTCCCAAATCCCCTTGCTATTTTGCACTTTTTCAATTCTGACTCCTTTGGCCTGCCTTTCCCAATCCTGAAATTACTTTCCAACCATCATACCTGAACCACATAACCCTCAGAGGTTTGACATGTTTCTGCTACCCAGCATGCCTCCTACCTGCACTGATACAGTTGCCTCTCTCATGTCGGGAACTCTTACTCATATTTCAATTGTACACCACCCCTAATCTTCCCACGTGGACCCCGCCCCCTTCCTGTTTCTTCTCTTGATAGTTAAGTCTCAGCTCAGACACACAATTTAGTATATAACCTACCTCCAAGTTCTCATGAATGAAAAGCTACTGTGGCATCATTCTTTGTCCATTAATAAGGAGTGGACAGCTCCGCAGTTAACTAGGTAACTTGATAACTCATCTTTTCACCTGTCATTCCCTTCACCTTAAGGTTTGCTCTTTCCTCATCACAAAATATTTTCAGCATTGGATGCCCAGAGGTAGTGAGAGTATCTCTTTTTATTAAAGATAATTCTCTCTCTCTCTCTCTCTCTCTCTCTCTCTCTCTCTCTCTCTCTCTCTCTCTCTCTCTCTGTGTGTGTGTGTGTGTGTGTGTGTGTGTGTGTGTGTGTGTAGGATATGTGTACATGAGTGCAGATACCCACAGAAGCTAGTAGATGACATTAGATTAGATTAGATGGAGCTGGAATTATAGTCTGTTATGAAGTGCCAGATTCAGGTTCTGGGAACCAAACTTGGGACCTCTGGAAGAGGAGCAAGCACTCTTAACTGCTGAGCTCTCTCCAAGTGTCCCACCCCTACCCTATATCTTTTTTGGAGCATGAGAAAAACTTTCTCATAAGCACTCAGGAGATGTATTATGCCTCACTGATCAAAACTACAATGTGTCTATACCCAATGGCAAGAAGAAGGAGTCACCTTGATTGGCTTAGAGCAGTGATGCTCAAAGTGTAGTTCTCAGACCAACAGCATCAGTATCACATAATCAGAAATGCACATTCTCTAACCCATTGCACACCTATGAAATCAGAAACTTCAGGGGTAGGATTCATCAGCTGGTGGCTTAAAATGACTCTGATATGAACATTAGAAGTGGAGAGTCACTGGCTTGGACTAGTCAAGACCTGCTTCATATTTAAAGCTTGATTCTCCTGAAAGATACAGTCATGATAAAGAATGGCTAACTCTGAAGGAAAAAAATCACAATTTTTCATAAAGGAGAAAGGAGTGATGGGTGCATAGGCTGTTTAATAGACAGCCAAATGTATATTTTATAATCAGTACATCAATTGTTTTCCCTTTTTGACTAGAAAGAGCTCTGCTGCTTCTTTTTTTCTTTAGCACATGCTCTGTAGCCAGTAACTCAAGAGGATATTTACAGAGAATATTTTTCAAAGAATATTTTGGATGCCCTTAGAAAAAGTCTGACTATCACTACATAATATTCTATAAAACACCAACCCTTTGCCATGCACTCAAAGTCTTTAAAAACAGTTCCCACAAAGGGCTTCATAACATTCCCAGGATGATTCTTTATGGGAGAAAGATGAGTTATTGTTTTTAATTTTCATTTTACAGATGGGAAAACTGAAACTTACAGGGGGAAGAACCACGTAGCTAGCAACTTTGTGTGCCAAGGCTCACCGTGCAGAACTGGCTGGGAGCTTTCTGAAACATCTTCCATTAGATTCTGTCTGGGAGGAAACAGCCCCTGCATAAAGTCTTCCGTGGAAAAAAACATGAAGATTTCACTGGCTTTATCTGCATGGCCTGGTTGCCTGCAGGACTTTACAGTTCCTACTACAGCCCAAGAGAAGCTGACAACTAGAACGAATGGCAAAGATTTCCCCACCACTGCTAATTGCAAGGCAGAGGAATTTTGCATGCTGCTACCCAAGAAAATGAGCATTTTCATTACCCACCGTAGCTTTAATGAATGACCTAAAGTATAGCCACAGAAATGCTACCTCAATTGCAATGCCTAACGGCACATTTTTCTCCAGAAAATCTAAAAGATTTTTTGTGTGTGTGAGCTGGAGGTTTGAATCTTTTTTAAAATCATGAAAAAAAAAAAGTGCGTGACATGTTGTCTGCTAAAGTAGATTTCAACTGTGGCTTTTCAGCTAGGGGACCCAGACTGGTGTGTTCTTGAATAAAAATTGAATCTGACCTCAGTCCCCAGAAGATCACATGGAGATCTTACAGCAAAATAGTCCAAGATACAGGGTTCTCCGTACCAGGTATTTGCTCTACTCTGCAGCCCTGCCAGCAGTGCTCTTCAGACCCAAGAACATCTGCTCGAATAACTCTGCTGGGGCCCAGAGAGATTGCCTGGTGGGTATGAGCACCTGCTGCTTTTCCAGAGGATCGGAGTTGGGGTCCCAGGTCAACCATGTCAGGTGGCTCACAACCACCTATAATTCACCTTCTGTAGGATCTTATCCCTCTGTGACACACTTGCACACACACAGAAATAAAACCTTTTTTGTTTGGTTTGTTTTTTTGTTTTTCAAGTCAGGATTCCTCTGTATAGCAGCCCTAACTGTCCTGGAACTCTCTTTGTAAACCATACTGGCTTCAAACTCACAGAGATCCCCCTGCCTCTGCCTCCTGAGTGCTGGAATTAAAGGAGTGCGCCATCACCACTCCTGGCTGAAAGCAATTTTTAATAGCTCTGCTGAGAGTGTCCTATGTCACCTCTGTGTGCCATCCAATGGGGAACTTCTGGGAGAAAATGTAGAGTATTTCAGCAAATGCCAGTGGGGACTCTGAATTAAAGGCAAAAGGGAGCACAGTCCTCAGGCCCTTTGCCCTAAAGCTTCCCAAGGAAAACTAGTCCTTCCAGATTCTCTACTTCTAGCCTTCCTGTTGATTTGGGACTAGTGCTTATTGTCTTGTGACTGAGTCATTGCACATCCACCAGGTTTGGCAGTGTCTTCCTCTGGAAGTCAAGCATCCTTCCTGTAGAACCCAGGTGGAGGAGAGCACATTCCTAATTCAACCCTGCAGGAGCACCAAAGTTCAAAGCTCCAGGCAGAGCTCTGCCTAAGCTGGCTTCATGAATGCTGTTTTATTGCTCCACTGAGCAGTTACCCCCATGCCAAGCAAGTCAGAACAAGCCTTCTAAGCTGTGGTGATGGATGTTTGCAGGGAACCCGTGGGAGTTATTAATATTCATGTTCCCGTCACACTTTTGCAAGTAAAGGAAGCTTGTTTTCTGTAACACATCATTAGGTGAGGAAAACAGGTGACCTCCTAAGGTTTTGAAGCAAAAAGGGTGGTCACTCTAGACCCGGAGGGGCTGAAAGGGGAGCAGGCAAGGTGAAACGGTTGAAGGCAGTAAGCTGTCTCCTTGTGGAGATGCACAAAAGATCCTTTTCATCAATACAGACATTTGTAGGTCTCTGCAAAGAACAGTGATGGGACGTGGGGCTGTTCACAGTCTTTCCTCTCTCACAGAGGGACAACAGGACACAGAAGCCATGTCTGAGAACACAGCTTTGCAAGTGCAGAGTAGGGAATTGAGGAATCTGAGCTGAGCCACCCTGCTTGCTTGTGGAACACAGGAGGGGTCTGCAGATTTGGGAACAAAGTAGCAGGAAATCTATTTAGGACGGCTGTCATCAAGAAGACAAAAAAATAACAAATGCTGACAAGGATGCAGAGAAAGGGGAACTCTGGTACACTAGTGGTAGGAATGCAAATTAGTATAGCCATTATGGAAAGCAGCATGGAGTTTCCTCCAACAGCTAAAAATAGGACTGCCATATGATCCAGCAACCCCACTACTGGAAATAAGTCCAAAGGAAATGAACTCAGTACATCAATGAAATATCTATACTTCCATGTCAATTGAGTAATAGTCACATCTTAGAGTGTTTATCAACAGATGGAGAAAAGGAAAATGTAGTGTATATACTCAGTAGAATACTACTCAGTCATAAGAAAAAATCCCGTCATATATGGCTGCATGGATGATGAATGGCACTGGGGAACATATAAGAAATAAGCCAGACTCATAAAGTTGAGTGCTGCATGATCTCAGGGGTGTGTAGAAACTAAACATATGGACCACATAAAAGAAAATTATCAGAGGTAGGCAACTAGGAAGGCCAAGAGGGAGAAGAGATAGAAAGAGAAAACATAATAGTTATCAAATAGATAATAGTTACCAAAATTCAGTTAGATAGGAAAAAAATCTTCCACCCCAAAGCAGGGGTACAACAGCAGGATTCCATTAACAGTTTACTGTATATTCCAAAATAGCCAGAAAAGAGGATTTTTGAGTGTTCCCACCACAAAGAAAAAATAAACGTTTGGGGTGATAGAAATTCTAATTACACTAATTTGATCTTTACACATTGTATGCATGTATCAAAACATTACACTGTACCCTTTAAGTATGGAAGATTATCTTATGTCTGCTACAAATGCTTAAAAATAGCAAGACACGTAGATCACAAGGAATGCACTTGCTGAGCCCAGAACAGACCCCATCCAGAGACGTCAACCGGTGGATGGGAGGTGGAACTAAGTGGGGAGAGAGACCAAAACATCCAGTTCATGATGGTTTAAGTAGAGCCTGCCAGTCAAAGCTACCACCATCCCCTGGCTCCTCCCATTATGAAGTGCCCAGCTAAAATGCAAGCCGCTTTTGTCAGACACTGGGGCAAGCACCTTTAGTGACAAACTCCCGTACTTCACAGGGAAAAGGTTTTGCCCCTCTACAAGATAGTTAAAGCACCTTCAAAGTTACTCTTTTTGCTTTACAAGAAAGCAACCTGGTCATTTTGACTCATTGTTTTAGGCAAACTAAGAGGAATCTTGGCTCATAGTACAGCCAAATACTCAACCTGAAAGGATTTGTGTATTTTTGACTATGTGCTCTTGGACATAGAACTGAGCATGCTCAGAAACAGACACCTCAATCTGAGCATGCTCGTAAGATAAGACCAAGCCAGTGGGCTTTCTATATGCACGTATGGGCTTCGTAATACCCGCTTTCTTTGTTCACCAAGAGCACTGTTTGGAAATAACCCGAGTGGTTTCCTTACAGGCTACAAGTCCCAAGATTTCCTTGACTCAGACCGCTCTGTTTGCCTTTCCAGATCTACTGTTTGTTCACACTTCCATACTCCCCAGAACACGTCTCAGGCTGCATCGTAACAGGGTGTATGACTTCTCCGTACCTATTTCCTCAGCTGCAAAATTTAGAGAAGGGGGGGGAAGCTCGCTTTGTTGTGAAAACTGAGAGTCGGTGTGCATGAATGTGCTTCGAACCACATCTGGTGGGTTGTGCGGCCGCCCTTGGGGATACAGATTCATTTCTTTCTCAGACCATTAGATTATTAATTCATTCAACAAACAATGACCATATGGTCTGAGACAGGTGCTGTTCTGAAAGCTGAGAGTCCAGGGCATTAAACTGACAAAACTCAGGCTTTCTGAAGATTACCTTCCCTGAATGTTGGGGAAAGGAGACACATAATATAATAAGCAAAATAAAGTAGCAAACGATGTTGTTGAGCTAGCCTAAGAGGCGGGGAGTGGGGCGCTGAATTGTACAGTGATGAGGAAAGGCCTGACTGAAAAGGGACACCTTCAGGGAGCATGAAGGGTTGAGTGGGTGGCCACAAAGCTGTAGGGAAGGGTCTTCCGGTCAGAGGGAGGAGGAAGTACGAAGACCCACTTGTTTTTTACTGTGCCCTGGCAGGTGCATCACCATCTTACTGAAATACAGAGGGTTTCCTTCATCCCAAGGTCAGCTTATGGATTCTCCCACAAAATCAAAACGCAACAAATTGACCGGGCGGTGGTGGCGCACCCCTTTAATCCCAGCACTTGGGAAGCAGAGGCAGGTGGATCTCTGTGAGTTTGAGGCCAGCCTGGTCTACAGAACTACACAGAGAAACCCTGTCTCAAAAAACCAAAAGGAAAAAAAAGAAGAAAAAACACACAACAAACTAACAACCACCCTTAGTTATCCTGGGTGTATATGCAGAGTGAAACCGGGCTTCCATCTAGTCAAAAATGACATTCAAGATATGTTTCTGCCCACATGTCACTAACCTCTTTCTCCCTTATACACACCAGGGAGACAATGTAAGTGAGTGCCTTGCCCTGTGCCTGTCATGTTGGGAGCAGCGATAGTATTTACAATATATCTGCAGGACGCCTGGGCATTGCTGCCCTGTTATTCCAGTCTTATTCCCTCATCCTCTCAACTTTCTAAAGTCCTACCAAGGACAAAAGGTACTGGAAGAGGCTGTTGCCCTGTTACTACTTAGGGAGAATGATTAGTGAGCGGGAGGAAAGCTACAATTGATTATTAATGTATTTCTTTCCACCCCAAGCTGAGAACTTCAGCTGTCTCCAGCCTTCTGACTATGCACAGCACCCAGCAGAGAACCTGGCACATAGTAGCTACTCAATAAATGCGTGATGAAAAAAGAAATGGAGACCAGCATTCAGTACTGTGCGCTGAGGCACACACAGGCACTCTCCTGCGTTCATTTCTACAAACCTTGCTCTGCTTCTCAGCCAGCAGGAGCTAGGGACACCCACAGAGCCAGCTTGACAGAGCCCTGACATCTCAGAAACAAACCTCACCTCTCCCTTCCAGAGCACACTCCCTCGTGCCACCTGGTGTCTGTGGGTGTGACTGAGTGGCAGCCCACAGAGGGAGTTGGGGTGATTTTACTGCAGGTTAGCTTTGTTGGCGTTTACATCAATCACCCCTTTCTGTAATTTTAAACTCTATCTCAGCGTTCTCAGAGAAGACATAAATTATTAAACAAAAGAAAGCAACTCTGGCTTCAGATCAGATGGTAATAAGTCTCACCTAGTACAGCTCAAAGTCCCTTCATGTGGCCTGGTGGCAGAAGAAGGAGTTTAAGATTTGGCAAGGCTGCTCCAGTTCTGGCTGGTGTTAACTGCGGATGTGTCTGGAACTCACAAGGACTATTGGAAACAGTTGGGGCGCGTCTCCCCAAGTGTGAGGAAAGAGGAGACTGCGAGGGAAAGGAGAAGTAACCTTTCACGACAGAACAAAGGGAATTTGCACTGACTGCACATCTTCTATTCCAAGGAACATATATGGTGCCTTGCTGATGTTTACATCAGAAAGCAGGTGTCCATATCAAGGCTCTTCAGGTAAAGCATCAGGGCACAAAGACACAAAGTAGCTAACTTGAGAGCACACAGTCGCTGGAAGAGTTGGAACTGGAATCTGAGTCCATCACCACACAGCGCCACACCCTGTTGGGCGGCCATGAAGCCCAACATGAAGGGTGCCATAGGCGATGAGCCCTGGGCTTAGCTTTATTGTGGGACACATGCAGTAAATGACACACTGGGGGAGGAATGAGACCGTGTGCATTTCTTTTCTTTTCTTTTTGTTTTGTTTTGTTTTGTTTTGTTTTACAAGACAGGGTTTCTCTGTGTAGCTTTGGAGGCTG